TTTGGAGAAACGATTGTATATACTCAGCAAGGTGCTGCTTTGCCCACAGCGGGAAGGTAACCTGCAGCGTGACACGGGTTTCTCTGTCAGTGGAATTCAGACATTTCACCCAGACTTTTCATGTGTGTACCATTTTTTAAAGTTATCTGGCCTGGGCCCCAGCAAGTCATATCAACCTACAGACGCAAGTCTTTGTTCAAATCAGACAATGTTCAATTACTTTGATCACTTCGCTCTTCCTTGTCATCTGTGACTCAGTCTCACACACCTGTCCGCTGTGTTCTGGTCTGAGCCACCCAGCCTTTCCTCCACTTGATTACCTAGATGATCGTGAACCCAGTCACGATTTGGGCTCCAAAAGTTTTTTTTTTTTTTTTTAGCTGAGTCATCCTGCCACTTGTTGGCAGCTCAGCTCTGGCCGGGACTCGAACCGCTGTTGCTCAGAGCTTGCACTCTCGAGTGAGCTCTTAACCAACTGAGCCACTCGGCCAGCCCTCCAGAAGATTTTTAATGTTCTAACCGAACCCACTGCACACTCTCATCTCAGCCTTTTTAACCCAGGGTCACCTTCTGATCCTTCTGTTAGCGGGGTCAGTGTGCCAGACGCTGGGTGAGGACATGTGCCTCTCCAGGCTGTTGGGTCAGGCTGCTAGTGGGCCACACGCAGTAACCAGCCTGTGGCCAGTGGGAAGCCATGCACTGTGTGTGCAGACTGGCCAGCCACTCCCCTTCAAGGCACAGGGAGAAACCCTCTCTGCCGACAGCAGCACCCACTAAAACAATATTGAAAAAGAAAACATTTGGAGGACTAAGAATTCCCAATTTCAAAACTTTCTACAAAGCTACAGTTATCAAAACAGTGTGGTTTTGGAATAAGGATATATGAGGTCACACAACTGAGTTCACGAACTCATCCTAGAAAAAGTGCTACATACCTCATTGCTGAGTATCACTACGGTCACCTTCTAAGTACTCCCCGTGGAAAGCTATGTACCGACGCCAG